GCCACTGTTGTAGTTATGATCCAACCCTGTTAGCATGACTAACTTAATGCATCAACATTACCTTACGCAAGCTTGATAAAATAAAAAAAAATTGTGCCAGTTAACCGTATACCCCGCATGTTACGCGAGGAAAACGCCAGAGGATTTATTTCGGGGCACCTCAGGCCCTGTTTCATATGTGCACTACAAAAATACTTTTTAAAAAAAAATAAATAAAACTGAAATAATTCCAAAATAATGGTAAGAATGTGACCAGTCCACTATAATATACCTGTCTATGCACCTTCCAACTATCCAGAGACAGGTCCTATTTAGGACCTGTGTCTGTTCCCCCTGATTTCCAATATATTGGAGCACTACAGATAGGACACAATGGTGGCACAGCAGGTGGTATTTTACAGCTGTGGACAATAGCATGCCATAGGTGGCTACATAGAACCCATATCCACAATATTCCAAACGGACTAATGGGATTTTATTTTTGGGCATGGGTGGGCAGGTCTGCAGGTAAGGCTAGGCTGAGAAGACTTTTTAGGTGATTCTGGAGTAGTTGCTGTAGTGGGCTCTTACATAATATTTACAGACAGGCATTTATGGAAATGATAAATGATAATTTATTCAAAAATAAAATACCATGAAGTTTCTTGCATGTAACTTCAGAGACTCTGTACGCCTGTCAAGAAATGAAGAAAAAAAAAAAAAAAAAAGAAAAAAAAACTTTTTGGGAGAAATTGGTTTTAGTTTAAATGGGATCTAAAAATGTTACGTGAATCGACACGTATTCACATGTATTCGCAAAACAACAACACAGAAGTAACATAGTACATGGTATTTTATATATAATTAGAATACAAGAAGACATTATTAGAAACAGAAACATAAGTCTCAGTCAGCATAGGATATCCGTGTATATACAGTATCTCGAAGTCATCGATAAGCAAATCGCAATTACAACAAAAAAAAAGAAAAGAAGTCAAATGATTTTAAGACATGAAGTTAGTTATGAGCGTTAATACAATTCATGGAAATTAGGCTAAATCATAAACTATAATTTCTTAAAAATACCTTAGCATGTGGCGCAGTTCAGACGAATCCACAACACAGCAACATTTAGTGGATCAGCCCCAGACGCTATCAGATCCCAAATATGCTGCAGCTATCTGTTCCACGAGGTGTGTAGGACCCAAGTTATATTCATTGCAATACAACATACAGGGAGGCTGTATTACACGAAGTCTTATTTTCAATAAATTATCACATTTACAATTTGTTTTTTTGTTACATTCAACACATACAAAGCGGCTCTAGGTAACAGAATATTTTTAAACATTCTGTTATTATGACAAACCAGTTTGTAGCTGGCTCCTCGCCAGCAAGTTGGAAAAATAAAATAAAAACACACACACAAAAAAAGCTGTAAGATAAACACGTGTTTGCCATAAAAACAAAACTGCCACCAGCTAAGGAAGGTCAGAAGCCATACGTCAGAAATGAACTTTATCACACAATGGCACAATTCTCACATGAAACCTGTGTAGAGTAATGTTCCCAGACACATGGAATTCAATTCACACTGCTCCCATTTAAATGGATTGAGTCAATCTGCTTTGCTGGCATTGGCTGTCTCTCTCCAATAAAGGACCCAGATTCTTTAAGTAATATTTTTCTCTTATGACTTATGTAATAAATCATGTATAATGTTTTTTCCTAGCACTTTTATGGCAGTTTTTATAGCACATTCCAGTATAGTAAATTGCAATATATTTCTACTACCTGTCCTAAATTTTCCCAGACTGTCCCAGATTTTGTCCCTTTCCAATCTATACAAATCTCAGGAGAAGGGGGGCGTGTCCGGCAGCCGATGGAGATGGCCGCCTAATTCTGTAGCTCCCCGTGGCACCCGCAATCAACCCCGCATCACCACCAGCCCAGCTCACCTGCACACACCATATGGGTCGCACAAGGAGGCTGGCAGACCCCGGCGGCACCCCAAGACTCGCGGGACACGGAGGGGATCAATCGATCCGTGCTTTCCTCCACGCCGCCGGCCGCGATCAGTCCCCGCGGAGGGAAATGGAGGCCGCAAGCCTGCAGCCTGAATCCTTCCCATCCACGCCGGCAGTATTCTCCCCGGCCCCATCGCCTACCCTGGATACACAGCAACCACAAGGGGGTGAGTGGAGAGACATCTTGCCAAACCTACTTACAAAGGCTGATTTTGAAGCCCTTTCTGACAGATTAGGCCGGGTGGTCCGTGAAGAGGTGGCCCAGCTGCGTGCAGATGTGGCAAATGTAGAGGCCCGCATGGCAGTAGCAGAGACGGAAACAAGGGCGCTCAGGACAGATCTGGAACTCACGAATGGGACGGTCACGAAACAAGACGCTGACCTAGCCTTCCTCACCACATGGGTTGACGATCTGGACAACCGCGGCCGCAGGATGAACCCGCGCGTCCGCGGAGTGCGGGAAGGAGGCCACTCAGAAAATGTACCGGAAATACTGCGGCTGATCTTTGCCCAAGTACTGGGAGGCCAACATGCACCCAGAATAGGCCTAATCCGTGCACACAGAGTGCTGAGACCCATACCAACACGTGAGGAACAACCAAGAGACATAATATGCTGCCTGGAAAATTACCACCAAAAAGAAGAAATACTACGCACAGCCAGACGCATGGGGACGATCCGAATGGAAGGTCAGACCGTATCTATCTACCAAGACCTTTCACGCTACACCCTGATGGCCAGGAAGGCCCTGCGACCGGTGACGTCAGCGCTGCAACAAGCCAACATACCGTACCGCTGGGGATACCCGTTCTCCCTCACAGCCAGACACGGACAAGACCAACTAACAATCCGGAAGCCAGATGATGTCCAAAGCTTTTTACATACTCTAGGCCTCCCGCCGCAGCAGGTGCCAGACTGGCTGGCAAGATCGTTCCTCCAACAACCACCGGGCCCGCAACAACGACAACCGCGCGGACCCATCGCGGACCAGCAAAGGCCCCGACCCCAGCACCAACGCGAATGGCACCAGGGCCAAGCGCAGAGGGAGCAGTAACAGAACACAGCACCGCACAGCCAAGGCAAGGACATGGGGACTCCATTGATGAGAACTAGCTAAATCGTGAGTACCATCACAGGGGACACCGTACGGGAACCACACAAGCACGCAGAAATTGGAGAGGGAATAGGGGGATAAAGGGTCACAAAGACACTATACCTCAACTATAATATGTCGGGGGGGAACACGCAAGGCATGAACAGAGTCATGCCCCTTACCGCAAACTCAATCGGGAGGGCATCAGGACATTTGGGGCGGGGAACAAGGGAAGGGGATATGATGAGAACGACCACATGGGGAATGCAGGACACAAACGGACACAAGGACAATGCAACCACGCTGCACTGCCAGTAGAGGCGCAACTCCGAAGGCCTCCAGGGCCGTGCAAACCCACAGCGCAAAAGGGAACTTGGCAGGGGAAAGGGGGAGTAGGGCGCAGGGAGGGAAGTGGGAGGGTAGAGTAGTTGGAGGGGAGTTAAGGGGCCCCTGATCGATGAGGGTAAGATGGAAGCGCAAGAAACAAAAAAAAAAAAAAAGTGGGAGCAAGGATAAACAATGGAAAACGGGAGAATACAGGGTGGGAATACTAAAAGAAGGAGAGAGGGGACCGTATTAAAAGGTTAGGGGAGGGAGGGGGAGACATGGCTATAATATTTATAAATATAAAAAAAAAAAAAGAGAGAGATATGCCCTTTACACGGTGCGTACGGCTCAACGCGCAACGTTAGGCGCATGCATGAAACCCATACAAATTGGCTCGAACCTGCCTCCAGGCAGATCCAGAGCCACTCAGAACTTAAGACCAGTCCAAGGCTAACAAATGACGATGAAATAGTTACTACAGGCGACTGGAAGACGGAGGTGCCCTCCCCCAGACATTACCAACGCCCCTAGACAGTGCAGGGACAGCAGACAAACCTTAGACCAGAGACTCAAAGCTCCAGCCAAAACAGAGGACAAACCCGAACAAAGGAACCCCACAGGCCTGATTCGACCCACGAGGCACCCCATACCACAGCGTCCCCACCTCGCGAAATAGCTAGACCCATTCCAAGCGGGCTCCAAACAATCCAAAACACACACGTGAGCAGATGACGGACAAACAGTAACAGCTCAGATGCAAACAGACGAGACACACACTCATAAACGAACCCATAATCGACACAAACTAAGAAACGGAGCGGGTGCTCCGAGTAAATAGCCACCCGGGAGACAGACTAAGGACTGCGTACAGTACTAATACATACACGTAGACCTTCTAGGAACCCAGAAGCGGACTGCGCCGTCGCAGACGGTAAGCCCGATTCCCCCACAGGCATAGGACATAGGGATCCCCACTTATCAGGGGATACACTACTCCCGGAATAGACCCAGCCCCATCTCGCAGGCAGGGTTACGCGGTCGAATACCCGGGACGATTGTCCATTACCCTACAGTAATACAGAGGCCATATAGGCGTCGTGAATAGACGCAACACCGACTACACACCCAACAATACACCACCACCACACTCACACACTCCCCAACCGAACCACGCAACAGACTCACTCACCCCTGTGGCCGTCCGGAGGATGCCGGACCCAGGCCCTGGCGGATACACCAGGGAAGACCTAACCATTCTCTCATATAATGTACACGGCTTAAACGTCAGAGAAAAACGCACAAGACTTCTGCGGGATCTGAAACACTATAGGGCATCAATAGCGTTTCTCCAAGAAACGCACTTTCAAGATGGCAGAGCACCGGCACTGCGAGACCGCAATTTTAGAACGGGATATTTTAGCAACAACCCGGACAGACGCACGCTGGGAGTAGGTATCATTTTCCAGCAGAACCCCATACACGGAACAAGCCACAGTAAGATGCAAACAGGGCAGGTATATCTTCACTAAAGGCACGATCCTCGAACAAACCTACACGTTCGCCAATATATACACCCCGAACACGAAACAGTTCCCTTTCCTTCGGAACGCACTGAACACCCTGATGAAGTTCGCAGAAGGCACTCTGATCGTGGGGGGAGATCTGAACCTGACCCTGCACCCAGACCAAGACTCCACATCGACACTCGGCAGAACCCCGCATAATCGACACGCGAACACACTCCGTCTACTGCACCAACACCAATTGGCGGATTGCTGGAGAGCGCTGAACCCAACAACGCGGGACTACACGTTTTACTCACAGACCCATGCAACATACATGAGGCTAGACTACTTCTTACTAGCACACTACGACTTGGCCCTACTCAAGGCAGCAGACATACTGCCGATGACATGGTCGGACCACTGACCGATCCGCATACGGATGGCATCACCGTTATTTAAACCCAGACAGATGTCCTGGAGACTGAACAAATCAATTCTATCGGATGTGACAGTGGCTGATAAAATAGGCCAAACCATACGAGACTACTTCCAAGATAATGAAACGGAGGACGTGACACCAATGACATGCTGGGAAGCACACAAGACGGTAGCAAGAGGCCAGATTATAGCAATATGCGCGAATCGCAAAAAGACGGCGGTACGGGAAATAACCAGGCTGAGCAGCGAAATTGCGACCCTGGAAGCCAGACATAAAAGAACCTTAGAAACAACAATATACAGAGAGCTAACAGATAAACGCAACCAGCTCACAGCGCACCTTAACAGGAGGATCCAACGCGCGTACGAACACTACAGACACATGATATATGAACACGGAGACAAGTGCGGGAGACTGCTGGCGAATCTCCTGAGGCAACGTAAGACACAACTGTATATACCGAAAATAAAAAACGCACAGCAGCAAATCAGACACCTCCCAGAACAAATAGCAACGGAGTTCCAACGATACTACCAGGACCTTTACCACCTCCACAAGGAAGCACAGGACGACCAGAGACATCAGAAAACGGCAGACATACGCCAGTACCTGAACTCAGCAAACATGCCAGATATAACGGAAGCAGAGAAAGACGCGCTAGAAGCGCCTATAACACCCGAAGAGTTGGCATACGCCATCAAGAAAGCTAAAACGGGGAAGGCACCGGGGCCAGATGGACTGCCCCTCCAATACTACTAGGTCTTCACGCAAGAGCTTCAGCCGAAACTACTTAAAGCCCTGAACTCCATACAGGACGGAGCTGCACCTACGGCCCAGTTCACCTCAGCAAACATTACCCTGCTACCAAAGGAGGGCAAAGACCCGACATTGTGCCCAAACTACCGCCCGATTTCGGTACTCAATACAGACATCAAACTTCTGGCAAGCATCCTGGCAGCGACACTAGCGCCGCTACTGCCAGGCTTAATCCACCCGGACCAAACAGGGTTTATCCCGGGCAGAGAGGTGCGTGACAACACCATTAGAGCCCTGAACATCATCGCACACGCTAGAACACTCGGGACACAGACCCTGCTCCTGTCCACAGACGCAGAAAAGGCGTTCGACAGGGTGGACTGGGATATGATGTTCGAGACCCTCCAAGCCTACGGGATGGGACCTCACTACCTTACATGGGTACGGGCCCTCTACACCAACCCGACGGCACGAATCCGGATAAACGGGGCACTGACGGACCCGTTCCAGATATACAATGGAACCAGACAGGGGTGCCCACTTTCTCCCCTAATCTTCGCGTTGACGCTGGAGCCGTTTCTGCGGAGGATCAGACAGAACGTAAACATACAGGGCCTCACAGTTGGACAGGTACAACACAAAACGCTAGCATATGCGGACGACCTGCTGTTCGTGGTCACACGTCCAGAGACCACCTTACAGGAAATACAGGCAGAATTTAAAGAATATGGGCTGATCTCCAACCTCCAGATAAATTACGCTAAGTCGGAGATCCTCAACCTCACCATAGATCAAGCCCACAAACGGACACTTCAAAGACTGCACCCGTACCGCTGGTGCGACCTCCGTATGCGGTACCTAGGGGTGTGGCTCACTCCCACCCCGGGAGACCTATACATCCACAACTATCTCCCTATACTTAAAAAAGCAACGGAGGAACTAAATAAATGGAGCTCCCTCTACGCATCATGGCTAGGAAGAGTAAACGCCGTAAAGATGACGCTACTACCGAAACTTCTTTTCGTGTTCCAAACGGTGCCGATACTAGCCCCGCAAGCCTTCTTTAAGACGATACGGGCGGAGGTCCGCAAGTTCGTATGGAAGGGCAAATCCCCACGCACACGCTCAACTAACCCTGCCTAAACTCCAAGGAGGCCTGGCGCTCCCTGATTTTGAAAAGTACTACCAGGCAGCGCACCTCACCAGAATAGTCAGCTGGTCGGTTGCCAGCGGAACGAAACCATGGACCCAGCTAGAATCCGACATCACGGACTGCGACCTTCGCACGCTACCGTGGATACCCAGAGCCGCTTACAAACATAAACATATCACCAACCCATTCGTGGCGGCGACCATGAAGGTATGACACAGGGAAGGCACGAAGCAATACCTCACGACGGATCCGGGCCCGCTACTGCCGTTGAGAGGAAACCCAGACTTCCCAGCAGGAGACCACGGTCCCATGCCAGGCCCGAGGGGACGCACAACGACTCCTCGCATGATGGATGTCCTCCAACGCCCATTTGAAGTCCGCGGCGTCACAGACCTCTTTCCTGATCGAACGCTCACCTTTGCACACACACTGGCGAGAGCACAAATAGTAGGGTACGCTCGGTCTATCCCGCAAAAACCATCACTACTGAGAGACCCCACACAATTCGAACTACTCTGTACGCAAGAAACCGAAACCCCACGTGCCATTTCACAGATATACGCAATGCTGGTTACAGGAAGATATTTACTGGCACCCCCTTGCATGAGAAACTGTGAGGAAGACCTGGAAGAATCCATGACAGAAGCAGCCTGGGACAAAAACATCACCCTGATACAAAAAACACCTAGCTCGGCGAGGCTGCAAGAAAACTCATACAAAATATACACCAGGTGGTACCTGACACAGACGGCGATACACGCCAGGAATCCGGAAGCCACAGACACCTGTTGGAGATGTGGAATAGAGAGAGGAACATTCATACACACCTGGTGGACGTGCTCCCGACTCCGACCATTCTGGAACACGATCAGAGAGGTAATACATGAAGTAACGGCCGAAATGCTCCCGAGTTCCCCAGCAACGTTCCTCCTACACCACACGGAGATGTCTATACCGACATACAGTAAATCTGTCATCCCACGACTATTAAACGCAGCCAAAGCAACGGTCCCAATATACTGGAAACAGGCCACCACACCCTCCATCGCAAGATGGGTGGAAGAGGTGGAAGCAACTAGGAAATTCGAAGACGTGAAGGCAACCACCCCGAACCTTAGAGATCGTTACACCAAACGCTGGTTTCACTGGCTTAGACTAACCACCACTGACGCCTTTCGTAACCGCATGGCGACGCAGTAGACGAAGGAGGAGAGTTTTAAGCCAAAATAAATACGGCACTAATATGAAAAGCTGGGGACCGATGAACCGAGACGGCGACAGGGGTCGGAATCACCCACCATCACCAACCCACAACACCCACATGCACATACACGACACACAACTTGCCGACACATATAGTCGCACACCCAAAGGACAACAGGAGGCGGGACAATGAGCAGGCCAGTCGGGGACACACACAAGTAAACACACAACACATACGAGCGGCAGCGTGCCAAGACTTTAAACTACGCAACCTGAACCAAGACCCACTACGAACACACGGACGGCCAAGACATAGAACAAACGGCCACTGCAGTCAGATAACACCAGACGAGAGTTGCGAAACCACATGATCTGAGCGCCACACACATCCACAGCCCAAACACAGACCTTTTTGATCTACCCCAAAACCCACAGAACAACACCACATCCACGCACACAGGTGAACCCACCTCAACGCGACGACACCAAGACACACAGACAGTGACTCAGACACACAAACCGGAACCACAAAGACGCAACAATAGAGGCAGACACACAGAGCTACAGAATAAAGCAACACTACATAGACAAAACCATGGAAACATGCAATAGAGGTGACACAGACTTACCGCAGAAGGTTTCACCATCACCAGCAGAGGGAAAGGACACGAAACATAAAAAACAAATACAACCCCAATATGCACGAGCAGGAAGCCACGAGACACACTAGAACTCAGGGATACAGACAAAAGACCAGAACGCGTAAACACCAACACATGTTCGCAAGATGGGCCTTCACTGCAGTTTACGGCAACAGGGATAAATACGCAAACACTGGCATCTCAGAAGAAAACAGTGTATTATTAACGAACCACACTAACACCATTTAATGAGCCGATAGCTGAACACATGATACCAACTGCCACCCCAAATAACCACTACATACCTGACAACAACGCCCTAACAACGCAATACCAAGCAAGCTCACCACCTTTTACATGTCTAGCCCTGCAAGACCTATAAATGTCTAATATTTGTCATTGCGTGTTTATTTTGACTTATACGCCTCTGCGCAGGCAACTATGTGTTACTCTGAGTTAACTGGAATATGTCGGCCTCACATTATATACACTTTCAATGTGCACGCCTCTGCGTAGGCAACTATATGCATGAATGATACCAAGTTCAATACCCGTGTTTATATTGCTGACAATAAACATATTTAAAACAAATCTCAGGAGAAGAAGCTCAAAAAGGTTCACTTGTAGACCGATTCTTTTTCATTTGTTTAACTGTGATTTGTGGATGACAAAAATGGCCTAACAGTTCATACAATCTGCGAAAGTGTAAATAGGATGGGAGGAGTATTTAACGGGCAGATGTGTTCTCACATAGAAAAATGGACACGAATGCAGTTGTGACTTAACGTTAATATTGCAGATATACACAGAGGGGTTGTTTATCAGGATTACCCTCTGCAGAGAAAGTTCTGGGAATACTCTGAGTCGCTGGGGGCGGAGGGAACAATTTCAATTAAGAAATTGGTCGTTTACTTCTCCGAGTATGAATGGGACTGGAAGAGCCTTAACGGTGAAACGCGCGTCGGGACATACATAGAATATCATGCTGGTCTATCAAATATGGGACGACATGCTTTAAGATTAACTTGACCTTACCAGCTATACTCTTTTCATCTATTTTATTTTTTTTTCATTTATCTTTTACTTAGTTGGGAGATCGCTTTCTACCGTACTTACCTAGTCCCACGAGATGGACTTATATCTTGCTAAGAAGACTAGATATTCACAAGAGAAGGGAGGAGGGTATTAGATTTTGTTAAGGGGTGACCTCGAAGGCACAACAGAGTAGGGAATTTTACTATTTGCAGCTGACTGTTTTGTTCCCTATCTGATAAACGATACAATTCTCCCCCTGGACAAACAAGATACAATTGCAACATTGACATCTTGTTACATTTTTGTAACATACAATTCTGTATGGTGCATTTAATCATTTCCAACTTGTATATAATTGTTCACCTTTTTTCTTCTTTTTTTGTCTGAGGTATATATATATATTTTCTACATAGATTTTGGGTTACAACGATTAAACTTTGGGTTCACTATATTAGTTTAAGCTATTTTTTTTATATTGTTAAAAAAAAAAAGACATTAGAATACAAGGAATATAATCTCTATGGATTAATCAATTTCAGGTTTTTCTTTGTCCTATTTGTTTGGATATTAATTCTATAGGAAGATTTTAATCAATATATTAAAAGTAGCATTTTATTTATTATTATTTGGGTTACTCATTGCTATAAAAGGGTTTACCTTCTAAACGGTTTACCCAGGTGTTCTTTGCTTTGTAATATAATTTATTCTGGGGGTTGCCCCCTTCCCCCCTCTTCTCATATGAGTAACCTGACACCTTTTCCCTAGAAGGTCACTCAGTTTGTAGCTGGGTACGGAGGGAACAATTTCAGTTAAGAAATTGGTCATTTACTTCTCCGAGGATGAATGGGACTGTTTAAATCCAGAAGTGAAGAAGATTTACAGGGTTCTAACAATAACTACCAGACTGTGGGTTCTCTAGAAGGAGGACCGAACAAGGGAGAAAAATGTATTATTTTGATTTCGGTTTCCTG